GCACTGTGATACTATCATGGTCCATCTGATAACCTAGAAAGCTACTAAGTGACTAAATGGGCAGGTAGCATATACAACCTGGATACACTGGACAAAGGGATGATTCACGCCCTAGGTGGGATGGAGCATGATGACAAAAGATTTCATTACAATACTCAGAATGACACACAATTTAAAAGTTATGAATTGTTTATTTCTGGAATTTCCCATTTAATATTTTAAGACTGTGGTTGACTACAGGTAATTGAAATTTTAGAAAGTGAAACTGTGGATGGAGGGGAGCTACTGTATATTCAGACCTGAGTGATAGAAAAGTTTGCAACCTGTGAACACTGGTGGGCAGAGATAAAAAATCCCCAAGAAAATCCTGTTCCCTCTAACCAAAAGGCCTGTGAAAGGGCAGCCCAGCAGAAAAGAAACGTTTCAGCTGTATGTGATAGGGAAAATTCTAATGATCTCTCAAATTTCCTGCCACTGATGTACATGCCTTGACCTGGAAATGTGAATCTGATGGACACTACCTCTGTAATTAGGCTGTTATATGGCATGGTTGACCTAAGGTAGGGAGATTATCCAGGTGGTTCTGACCTAATTATATGAGCCCTTTAAAAGTGAAAACATTTCTTGGGCTGGTAGTAGAAGGGGAGGTCAGAGAGATTCGAAGCCTATAAAGAATTTTACACGAAGGAGGTTTTCTGTTGCTAAGATGAAGGGTCCACCTGGCAAGAACCTGAGAATGACCTCTAGGAGCTAAGCAGAGTTGCCAGCTGACAGCTAGCAAGACAGAAATCTCAGTCTTACAGCTTCAAGGAAATCAATTCTGCCAAAAATGCAAAGGTATTGGAAGTGGATCTTTTCCCAGTTGAACCTCCAGGTGGGGAAGTAGTTGGCCCATATCTTAATTTTAGTCTTATCAGACCCTGAGCTATGAGACTCTTGATTCAGGGAAACTAGAGATATAAATTTGCGTTGTTTAAGTCACTAAATTATTGGTCATTTTCTTGCTCTTGAGACAAACACCATGAAAAAAAGGCATGCCCTTTCCTATGTCAGTGGTGCTGCAGTAGTGGAGTTGCTTGGAGGAATTCTGACTTCCACCCTGTATTGGTTGTCTGTTGCTGTTGTAACAAATTGTGACAAGCTTAGTGGCTTAAAATAACACAAATGTATTATGTGATAGTTCTAGAAATCAGAAGACAAAAATGGGTCTTATGGGACTAAAATCAAGGGGTCCATGAAGTAAAATTCTCTCTGAAGGCTCTGGGGAGAATCCATTTTCTTGCCTTTTCCAGCTTCTAAAGGGTACCTACATGCCTTGGCTCATGGCCCCTTCCTTCATCTTTAAAGCACATCATTCCAGCCTCTACTTCTGTGGTCACATCTCCCTTCTTTTTTTGACCCTTTTGCCTTCCTGCTATAAAGACACTTGTGATTATATTGACTCCACCTGGATGATTCAGAATATTCTTTCCCTATCAAGATCCTTAACTTAGTCACATTTACAAAATTTTTTTTACCATGTAGAAAACATATTCCTAGGTTTGAAGGATTAAGCTGTAGATAGCGGGGGTGGGGGACATTATTCTGTCTACCACAACCCCCTGCAGAATAGCACTGTGGAGGCTTTATAAACCAAATTAACATTTGAACCACAGCCCACAGAAGTGGACCAGGACATACATTCTGAACATAAACAGGTTATCTACATGCTAAATTAGGAGCTCTAAATAAGGAACCAGAGTCTTAAAACATAATATCCCAATGTCTAGGATATAGTAAAAAATTATTCCTCATATCATAAAAATTTCAACTCAAGAAAAATAATCAGTAGAGGCCAACACCAAGATGGTGCAGATGCTGGAAGATAAAAAGAAGAGCCTAATGAAAATTTTAGAATTAAAAAGAGATAAGAACTGAGATTTTTAAAACAACTCATTAGATAGGTGTTTTGATTGTACCCAGGATTTAAATTATACAAATGACTGAGTGAGGGCACTAAGAGGTCAATGTCACTGAAAAAAGAGTTTATTAAAGGGCATGCCCTGCAAGGCTACATGAGGAAGTACTAGGATCAGTCAGAAGGCAGGAGGGGTAAAGGGAAAGTGCAGACACAAGCCCTTATTTTGGTTTCTAAAAGAAGAAATGGGTGAGGCAGGGTAGGCAAGTTTGAGCAAGTTTATGATTGCAGAATTTGAATAATTTCAGTGGGCTCTGGGCTATAGTGGTGGTCTCTAGTGGTTCATTACCTGGCCCTAGTCCATTTAGGGCAGGGAAATACTGACATGGTATGTGAAAGATAGATAAAAGAGGTAGTTGGGAGTATGGACTCAGGTTGGTTTGTTTGCATATGAAAAGCACATGGTAGAGGGAGTTGTTTGCTATCTTAGAATTTGTTAGCTCTGAGAGTCTCTCCCCAGCCAGCAAGGTCCCTCCAGATATGAAAGAAATATAGGAAATTCAAAATATACTTAAAACAGCCCTGGCCGGTTTGGCTCAGCAGTTAGAGCGTCCGCCTGCGGTCCGGAGAGGCCCGGGTTCGGTTCCCGCTAAGGGCATGTACCTAGGTTGCAGTTTGTCCCCGGCCCTGGTTGGTCGTGCGGGTGGCAGCCACTCGATGTGTCCCTTTCACATCGATGTTTCCCTCTCTCTCTCTTCCTCTCTCTCCCTCCCACTCTGTCTGTACAAAAAATGGAAAAATGTCCTTGGATGAGGATTAAAAAAAAATATATATATATATACTTAAAACAATGACTCAATTGCCCTGGCCGGTTTGGCTCAGCGGTTAGAGCATCGGCCTGTGGTTCAGAGAGACCTGGGTTTGGTTCCCTCTAAGGGCACGTACCTCAGTTGCAGTTTGTCCCCGGCCCTGGTTGGGTCATGCGGGAGGCAGCCACTCGATGTGTCCCTTTCACATCGATGTTTCTCTCTCTCTCTCTCCTTCCCACTCTATCTGAACAAAAAATGGAAAAATGTCCTCAGGTGAGGATTAAAAACAAAAAACAATAGCTCAATAGCAAAATGGGAATGTCAGAAGAATCAGTGAACTTGAATATAGAGCAACAGAAATTATCACTATAAACAAGAGAGAGAAAATAAATAAATAAATAAATAAATAAATAAATAAATAAATAAATAAGAATTTCCAGGGACCTGTGTGATAGTAGCAGAAGACCTAATTTCATGTTATCAAAGCTTCCGAAGAAATAATGGCTCAAACTCCTCAAATTTGGTGAAAGATATAAACCTATAGATTCAAGAAACTGAGTATACTCCAAACAAAATAAACTTTAAGAAATTTATACTCAGACACAAAATCAACTTCTGAAAATGAAAGACAAAGAAAAACATTTAGAAACAGAGAGAAACAATTAACTACCAGTTGGGGAACAATGATTCAAGTGACAGAAAATTTCTTCTCAGGAACTTGAGGGACAGAAGGAAGAGGCAAACATTTCCAAATCCTGAACGAAAAGCATTGCCAACCTAGAGTTCTTTATCTAGTAAGAAATATCCTTCAGGAAAGAAGGCGAAGAAATGCTGAGAGAATTTGTCACCAGCAGATCTTCCCTAAAAAAATGGCTAAATGAAGGTCTTTAGACAGAAAGGAAATAATAATGAAAGGACATCTGGAATATCACGAATACAAAAGAGAGAAGAATTATATAGATTACATGGTGGATAACATTCTTGAAGTGACAAAATTATAATGATGGAGACTAGACCAGTGGCTACGAGGGGATTAGGGTTGGGAGTGAGTGCGATTATTAAAATAGAGCACAAAGGAGTTTCTTTTTGGTGATGGAGCAATTCTGGATTCTGATTGTAGTGACAGAGAAATCCACACATGTCACAAGATTTCAAATTTCACCTTCTAAAAAGGTGAATGTAAAGAAAGACTGATGAAATCCAAATAAGGTCTATATCTGAGTGAATAGCATGGCATCACTGAATTTCCTGGTTCCGACATTTTACTATGGTTATAGAAGATGCTCTCATTGGGTACAAAGAAACTCTCTGTAATATATTTTGTTGTGACTTCTTGTCTTAAACAATTTCAAATAAAATGATATAGTAAAAAAAAATCTAAGACATTTTAGTTTTTTAATTTAATAATTTATAAAGGTAGGATATGAGCAGGTAAAAGCAGAATTTGGAGAAAATTCTTAATTGACAATTGGTTGGTTCATGTGAGATCATGATCATTCTGTGCACACCACCCCCCTCCAATCTATACACATAGAGGAGCATATGCACACTTACACACACACAGGAACACAATTATAGGTGCCTAACTTTCAGTATTTCCCTGTTGTTTTTCTAGTATTCTCTTTCCAACTTTCTATCTTAGAGTTTTCTGTGCTTGCATTCAGAAAGATCTCTCAGAAGATCATCACTCTTTTTCTGTTGGTGGTCTGACCCATTTAACTCCTCTCCTCATTTCCTCATCTCTTAACCTGTTTTGAAACCCTTATACTTGTTGCTTTCATAAAATTATTGCCTCTATTTTTAATAATTATATTGCTAGTGGCTTATTTATCATCCTAGCATTTACTTGCAAGCCTTATTAGACATGATGGCGTGAGAGGGCACAGGCTGAAGCCTGACTAAACATTAAAAGATGTCAGACAAAAGGAGTCACCATAGAGGTGCTCACTTGTGGAATCTTACTGTCACATTCCTGAGGCCCGTATGTTCTGTAGGGGGTGGGGGTGGGGGAAACAGCTTCGAAAAGTCTGAGAAAACCATGGTAAGTAAGTCGGAAGTTGGAGGGGAGAAAGGGAAGAGTGAGAAGTTATCCCATTTATGAGAATATTATCCAGCTCAAGTCCTTTGATAATCATTCAAGCTGGGACTGAGAAAGGATAAGAGAAGTCAAGAGAACAAAAGGAACAGAAAACTTCTTACAGCCAAAGACTACTCCCATCTTGTTGTGAGGCTAGAGGGAAAGGTCAAGGATGGCCGACCAAGTTCCAAGGCCTCTGGGAGAGGGAATAAAGAGTTCAGCTGGTATGGATGACTCTGAGAATCCAATCTGTATAGCGGGAAACCTTGGTATAGAAGCCAATATCACCTCTCAGAATACACCCATCTGTCCAGGAGAGGATCCCATGGAGCTGATTTTGGCACAGGATTGGGGCAGCAGCTACTTCCTGTTAGAAGAGGAGAGATGGGTCAGGCAGAATAGCCAAAACAAAGATTATCTAGTACAAAGTTCCAATCCGAGGGGCCCAGAACAGAAAGAATTAGGTAACAAGGACTGGGAGGAGTGTGTGGTGGCCATCTTGGGCCCATCCCACCCCTCTCTCTGGGCCATAAAGAAATGAGAACACTCTGTGATGCTTCCACCCAGACATGTAAGTTCTTTCATGATTGGAAGGAGGACACTTATCCCTTCCTTGACCCCATGTACCTTGATCTCTTCTTGGATGTAGAGACAAGAAATTGGATTGGGTTATGGGAGATATGTAGACCCTAAAACAGTGCCTCAGACAAAACTTAGGAGGGACAGAGGGAAAAGGGTTACCTGACATGAATGAGTATCCTCCAGAGTTGATCCCGCACAGAACATGTTCTCTGTGACTTGAACAGGAATTTTCCTTAGCGGGGACTCTTGGCAATATTCATCAAGGAACCAAAAGACAGTCTGGTTTATCTGGATATCAGGTTCTGTGTCTGAGCACACACATGCACACACACGCACACACACAGAGAGACTTTATTTCTGTTTGATTCTTCACATATTCATTTCCTTTTCTTCTCTCCTTCCCTCCCTCTTCTCTGTTATTAACCTCTCTATTATTCAGTAAAAGGAAAAGCCAAAATGAAAAAAAAAAAAAACAGAGAAGAAAACAGATAATAAAACAAGAAAACCCAGGTCTGATTCCAGTATTGTAAACTCCATGCCTTGGGTTTGCACATCCATGCTTTAAAAAAATTTAAATGTGTGAATGTTTGTAAGTTTCTAATAAATGCCACACTCAGCATTTATTGGTGACATTGCCCTCCAATCTCTTCCTCACCCAGAACCCTTTTACCTTCACCTGGGTGGTGAATGAGGCAAGAACACTAGATTCCAGAAACCTCCAGCCATAAATAGCTATGTTAACCCTGGGGATATCATTTCAACAATTTGGACCTCAACTGTCACATTAATAAAATCAGAGGTTAAAATATGTAAGTTCTCAGGCCCCATCAAGATCTCATGAAAATTATATGACAATCCTCATTGACTGGTTACTCAAGGAACACTAGGGTCTGTCTTGAGGGTCACTCACAGAAATGTTCCAATTCCCAGCCCCATCCAGAAACAGTGCATACGCCTCCTCTTCTGTCATCTGTAGCATTGGGCAGACCAACCAGCTTCACAATATTGAGATTTAGAGGATGAGGCAGCTTGATGAGCATGAGGTCATGCTCAGAAGAATCCCAGGTAAAATTTGGGTGTTGGACAGTAAGCAGGGGTCTTAAGTTTTTATGTTTCTCATCTAGGAAAACCTTGTTTGAAGTAGCAATGCGTGCCTCAAGAAATCTGGAACAGGCCATGAAAGATTAGTAGAGAAAGGAAACATTATTTTATTGTTCATCTTGCACCCTTTCTCCCCCTAACTTACTTTGTGACTTGGCATGAGTTCTGTAAGTTGCCAAGACCCCTGTCTCCTTGTTTGGAAAATGAGCAATTTCCATTGTAGTTTCATAATTCTTTGATTTGCACCACCCTGTTGGTTCATCCCTTGGTCCTTGGCTTCCCCAGTTTCCTCTGTCTACGTCATCCCATTCAAGAACCTAACTCATAACCACATAAATCTATTTCCCGCCTCCTTCCAACCACTTTTCAGGTTTGAGAGTCCCTTCATCTCTTAAGGGCTGGGCCTCAGTCCCCCCAACTCCCACCCACACCCTGAGCAATCCAGTGACTAACGAGGAAAACCCCTCTCTCCCTAGAACCCCCATCACTCACGGTAAGAAGCAGTGGGCTGCAGTGAGAGCCCATTGTTCATGGATCAGGGTCCCCAAACAAAGCTTATATTCTGAATTCAAGAAAATCAAAAAGGTTGGTGCACTTTCAATGTTCATCTGATTGAATTGCTGAACTATTTTTTCTTGTGCTGTTATTGCTGTTGTTACTGCTTCTAGATGGGAGAAAGAAGGAGAGAATCTTAGAGATAGGGGCAAACATTCCAGAGGACAGATCTGAGACACTTTATGTAGAATTGCTTTGAAATTATCAATGTGTTATTGATGTTTAAGGTATTATTGAACCACTTCATGATCCTTCTGTTAATTTTCCGAGTTCCCTCCGTATTTGTGTCCTTCCTCCTACTCAGTGCTCTTCTCCTTCCTGCCTTCCTCTTGATTCTTTTTTTTTTCAAGCTTTCTTCTTAGCTATACATCAAAATCACACTCTTTTGCCAACACCTACCATCCATTGTATCAAACCTCATTATCTCAGTTCAAGTCTGTTGTATCCGGGAGCCAGAGGGAAATCAGTGGGCTCTAGATATCTCTGATGTTCTAGAAAATTGCCAATCATTGGGGTCCTGAATCCTTTTTTCTTCTAACTGATGACCTCTCCACCCCTCTTATCTAAACCCATTTCTTCCAGTTTTCTCCTATATGACATTTTCAGAATTTTAAGCCAAAATAGGAACCTGCACTCACCAGTCACTGTCAGAAAGGTGACGACTAGAAAGAGGTAGTTCGTATCTTTGGTCTCCATACCCTCTTCCAGTGAGAAGACCTGAGAAGGGAGTGAACTGATCAACCAGCTTGACCAACTGGAAGCTTTGCAAAGAGAGAAATTACAAGGAAGGTGGGGGAGGCTCAAGGGAGCAAGGTGCTCTTAACTGAGGGAAGAAAGGCATCAGAGGGAGGAAAGACCGCCAGACTGTGTCTCTGTAGAGTATCTTCCCTCCTACTGTAGTCTGGAAAATTTCTCCAAGGTGAGATTCTTGACCCCTCCCCTCAGAGGGATATATTATAAGCCAAGAGTTTTTCTCTCCATTATAGCAAAGACAAATCTCCACTGGCCAACACTATCTGTCTTAATCCACTGTCTCTAGTATAATTCAGCCCCCTGGTTCCCTTAAATTTACTCACCTGCCCTCACTTAGTAAGGCTGATCGCCACCTCTCTGTCTGACATTTACCAGCCCTCAACTTGAAAATAAACTCCCTCCTCTATGAACTACAGACCCTCCCACCTAACACACTGAGCCCTGCCCTGTGTCACATTGACCTTTGCCCCATGTCACACTGGCTCTGTCCCCATGTCATCCTCTCCTCATGTCACACTGTCTTCATCTCATGTCATCCTCCCCCTACCCCTTAGATACCACTGACCTCTCCCTGAAATTTTGCAGAGCTAGTCAGTGATAAACAAGGTATACTGAGTATAGAGCTCCCTTGGGATGGAGTCAAAGGGATACTGAGTAGAATGTAGCAGTTGGCTTTTGCCACATAGAAAATTTCCTCACAATTTAGTGGCTTAAAATGGAATCAACTATTTGCTCACAATTCTGTGGATTGCCAATTTTGTATGGGCTCAGCTGGGCAGTTCTGCTCTTAGTTGGGCTCAGCCATGCATCTGTGGCCAGCTGGCAGTCAATGGTCTCACGAACATCTCTGGTGTTGGCTGGTTGTTGGCTAGAGTGATGAAGGTAAATGGGTTATGTGTCTTTATCACCATCCAATAGGCTAGCCAAGATCATTTACATGATGATAGTTGCAAGGTTCCCAAGATCGGCAAAATGTTAAGTCCCAATGCCCAAGCACACTTCAAGCATCTGCATATGTCACATTTGCTAATGTCTCATTGGCCAAATCAAGTTGTGTGGCTAACCCAGATTCACAGGATGGAAAAGAATCCACTTCTTGATGGGAACATGTGTAAAATAATATTGCAAGGGAACAAATGTAAGGAGAATAATCTTTGGCCATTTTATTGTGTAAATCTTCAAACATACAAAAATTTAAAAGCACCATACAATGAACACTGCCACACCCACCACCTATTTTCTTCAACTAACATTTTACTATATATGCCTGATCACATAGCTGTCCATCTACAGTTGTGGCTGTTAGTACAATCTACCACACAGGCAAACAACTCACCCTCTTATTGATCTCCTGCAATTTGGCTTCCTCTCCCACATCTCTAAGAGAACCTCTCTTTTCTCTATTTGTGGTTGTTTTTTTCTCAGCTGCCTTTCTCACCTTATAACTCCTGAGTTGCTGCAATAGCTTTCTTTGATAAGCTGTCTTTCTCTATCCAATTTGCCAAATTAAACTTGTTTCATTTGCTGTGCTCCTGGTTAAAAGCTTGCTGTGGTTGCTAGAGTCCATCACTTCATGTCTTATCTCCTTAGTAATCTGGTACTAATGATGCCTGACTGGGTAGAGATATGATACAGTGGGCAGAGTCAGAGTTCCGGGGCAATCTCAAAAGCAGCCTGTGTCTTGGGAGGTCTTTTGGTGTACTTGTCTCTCTTTGCCCAACTCTAATCCCTGTGTGTCCTAACCTCTTTTTGTAAATCGGCTGCAACCTTTGGCTTTTAGCCCTCCCCATAACACACAGCTGAGCATCTCCCATCACCCCATAGGCACCAACTTCTTCCCTGACTGAATACCTTCTTCTCCTGGGCTCCTTGTCAAAAGGCCCTCGACATCAATTTTTCAAAGGTCATCTGTGTTCCTGCTGGTGAGCAAGGACTGACTTTTCCCCCTATTACTTGGTCAAACAGTAGTCCTGGCTGTTTTAAACATATTCCTCTGATTGGCTGTGAATCTTTGGCTATACTACTTCCTGAGTTCATAGTCATAAGAAAGGATTCCCATCCACCCTCTGATCTAGCTCCACCCCTCACTACACACCAAGAAAGACCCTTCTCCTCTCCCCATCTGTGCCAATCCCTGTCTGGTACCTACTGAGCTCCCACTTGTTCAGACTAGGTTTTAAGAGCCCCTCAAATTCCAATTTGAGTTCAGTGTCCCGAAAATGGCCTCCTACTGTGTTATTTTTCTCTGTTCTCTACTATGGACTTTACTCTAGGCCAGCCAGTTTCTTCAATATTCTTCAAATTGACCATTTCCATATATGCGTCCTTTCATTCTTTGGCTCACTGAAATATATTTGGAAGCACCCACCCTACCCACCTTTTGTCAGGAAGTCTGTTCCTGCCCACAACCCTTGCTGAGTGACTCAAGTTTGGATGTCAAAGAGCTAGAACCTGGATCCTCAGAGATACTTCCAAGATCAATGAAGCTCAGTGCCCAACACCGGTTCTGCCTGATCTGAGTCTGACCCCTCCACACCCACAGCTCATCCTGTCAGACTTCCACATACTTCTGGATGGTCTCAGACTTAAGAAGCTTTATTTATCTGGTTTATGACCTTGATTTCCCTAACAGCAGGATTCATATCTGAGTCAACTCTGTGTTTCCAGGCCCTGGATAAAACCTGACATCACGCAATAGATTTCACACACACACATAATATTTTTTGATGAATGAGGGAATACCACTCATGTATCTCCTAACTTAAAACTCTTAACAACCTGCCACACTGACCCAACCTCCAGGTAATCTAAGCTTACTGGCTTAACTCAGGTCACTTTCTTGTGAGTTAGAATGGAAATAGAATTCCCAGAGTATGGTCTTTGATTCTAAGGGGCAGGTATTGGACATTATTGGAATAAGATTTGATCTTTTTTTTTCTTTAAAAGCTTAATTGAAGTACAATAACATACAATAAACTACACATATTTAAAGTATACAGTCTGGTAAATGAATGAGCACATTCCCAAAAGGTTTCTTATGCCTCTTTGCAATTCCTCTTTCTTCCTCTCCCACCCACCATCATGTCACAAGGCAATCACTAATCTGCTTTCTGTCACTATAGTTAATTTATATATTAAAGAATTATCGATAAATAGAATTATACAGTATGTTCTTATTTTCTGGTCTGGCTACTTTTACTCAGCATAATTTGAGATTTATATATGTTGTTGAGTGACTTTAGAGTTCATTTATTTTCACTGCTGACTAGTATTCCACTATATTGATATACAAAATTTATTTATTTACCTGTTGATGGACATTTGAGTTGTTTCCAGTTTTGGGTTGTTACAAATAAAGCTTCTATGAACACTATATATGTGGGTCTTTATGTAGACATATAAGTACATATATGTCTTTATGTAGGCATATGTTTCCTTTTCTCTTGGGTAAATAACTAGATGTGAAATGGATGGATCATGTATACTAGGTATATGTTTAACTTTTAAAGAAACTGCCAAATTATTTTCGAAAGTACTTTACATTCTCACCAGAAGTGTATGAGAGTTTTAGTTCCTCTACATTATCAACACTTGATGTACTCAGTCTTTTTTTTTAACTGAGATATAATTGACATATAACATTGTATTATGTAGAGTATACTTAATCTTTTAATTATAACTATTCTCATAACTGTGAAGTAGTGTTTCATTTTGGTTTTAATTTGCATTTTCTTAATGACTAATGTTGTTGAACCTCTTTTCATGTTATTGTTTGCCATCCATGTATCTTCTTTGATAAAGTGCCTTCAAACCTTTTGCCTATTTTAAAATTGGGTTGTTCCTTACAGTTGAGATGGGGTGGTGGTGGTAAATATATTCTGGATAGGAGTCCTGCAATATTCCCAAGCAGCTGGAGGAACGGAATGTCATAGGTCCATCCATGTAACTCTTCCTTAGACCTGCTTGTTCCCAGTTTTCCATTCTTTCCCCTTCCAGCTTCCTGACCAAGCAGCTACGCTATTCATCACTGACATATGTCCTTGGTATTTTTATTTCAAGTTACTTTCTTCCTACATGTAGATGACCGGGTGTACTACCAAAGCTCTTCCCAATGGGAGAGTTTCCCTTTGCTGCTGTCTTCTAGAGCCATCTCTGAATGGTGCTATCCATTTCTGGCTTTACCATACACCAAACTTACCCATTTGTGTACCAAGCACAGGTTTTTGTGTTTTCCATGAGTTGATCATAATTAGATCTCCCTGTCCCCTCTTTCCTTCCCCTTCCTTCCAAACAATCATAAGTGTAAGCTGAAGGAAAGGCAACAATGTCATAGTAGTGGATGACACAGAAGTCTGAGCCATCTACTCATGTAGCTTACTTGTCTTCTGGCCCTGCTCAGTACCAGTCTTAGATATATCACCTCCGTCTCTCTATGGATTTCTGCTGGGTTCACATGACCCTATGATTCAGCAATTTTCAACCATTTTTATCTCATGGTACACATAAACTAATTACTAAAATTCTGTGGCATACCAAAAAAAATTTTTTTTGCCAATTTGACAAAAAAATAGGTATACTTTTGATTCATTCACACCGGACAGCTATTATTGTGGTGGCTATTGTCATTGTTTGATTTGACAATCTAAGGGAAAATAGTCAGGTATTGCATGTTTTAAAAGTTCTTGCAGCACAGAGGTTGAAAATTACTGACTTAGTAGTTCTAACAGAATACATCTAATGGTGAACAGTTCTGATTGTATGGTCACTGGATGTCCCAAGATCAGGTGCTCTGTCTCTGTCATGGCTCAGCAGTACACTGGAAACTATTTTTTGAATGGTTTCTGCTGAAGATGGTATAACATTGCTTCAGAACACTATAGTCAACATGGTGATTTTCTTACTAGGACTTGCTGTAAATTCCACAAAATGTCTTTTCCCACCAG